GTCAAACCTTTGGACCGCACCAAACTCCAACCACCTTTGTGCCCCTACTTAGGTGATAAGCCTGCGTTGCCAGGCTCGGCTCTGACCAGCTGCTACGCATCGATTTTATAAAAATATCATTTCTTCTACCAACGGAAGATGTGGGATTCGGAAGGACATTCGCTTACGCAGACTATGACCAGCTTATGTACTTTCCTAAATTTCGTGTTCGTGTGTATGGTTTCCTAACTTTGCAAGAAGGTTTCTATGTGGGTTAAGGTTTAGATTGTGGTTTTGATTCAGTTATTTTTCTTTATGTTGATGAGAATGTTTGATGATTTATCGCGTGTAGAAGAATCAAGGAGGAGTCTTTTTCAAGTTCCTGAACTTGTTTGGTGCTATCTTCTTATTGGTATACCATACATATATACATACACATTAACACAAACACATATACATATATATGTAAAAATATATACACGTGTTCATCCCAGCTTGGAAACAGGCTCTCACATGTACTCTTTTTTCAATCTTCTTGTGGATCTGTTGATGTTTTCATTTTCCAAAGAAGTGAAGAATTGGCTATAAACCGTTAGTAGTTGTGCGGAGATGGATCTGGTAGTCTCCGTGGCCGCAGCTCTTTTCCTTTCTCCAGCAGCTGAGCTTCCTTCGTTTTCTCACTTCTCAAACCTGTAAACTTTGTCTAAATTAATAATTTCTCGTACTTTTTATTTGATACATTTCATTATTCTAAACAAGCCCGCAACGTAGTAGGAGTCAACACTGCACACAATTATAATCCAAATGTGCAATCAGTAAGAGAAGATCCTAATTCATGTTGAAGTTCCGCATCATGGGAATAAGAGTACCCGGCAGCAGCCTTAGCCCCTAATCTCCTCCTCCGTTCTCCATAAGTTGCAAGAAGAAGAACAAGACCCAGAAAGCATCAATGTCTGGACGAGAGCACCTACAACCCAGGTGAGCACCTCTCTCATCCTCCTCGTGCATACACGTTTTCAGGCGCATAGACTGTTCAGTGAGGTTAGTAACATTCACATCTCAGGTGCATGTTTATTTGTAGATAAAGAGCAACTTTTTTTTCAAAATTTTTGCTGTGATTATTAGAGTTTGGGAGTTTTATTCATGGGGTTTTGTTTTTCTTTTTTGTTTTAGGTAAAATAAATCAAAATAGTTTGGGTTAGTGAAATTTAATACCCATTTTTGTTTAGTACGGCAACATTCAGAGTTTGGCTCATGTGTGCTGGTTGACGTATATTCTAATAATAACAGACGATAAGGTTGGAGCCGACAGCTGTGCGTCGAATGCAAGCAAGAAACATTTGTTACGGGTACGAGTGAGAAATTATTAGTTCATTCTACTTAGTTAAACGAGGTCTACTGTAATAACGAATTAAGTCATCAATAATCATTTAAGGAAGATAAATTTTAACTCTAAGATTTGGTTGGGTGCGTCAGAGTCCTCGCTGTAGTGCAACGCAGAGACAACACTCGAAGGACCCAATAGCAAGCTATTGTAGCGGCCCCTCCCCCTTATAAAAATTAATTTAATATCATGCGAATCGATGACTCACGTATCAGATATTAAACTGATAAGAACAGATACTACACTTGATCTTAGCCAAAAGGCCGAGAAAGGTATGACTTGCTTCCTTGTCCAACTCTTGTGTTATCATGCGCATTTAACATCCCAATCGCGCTTTTATTCCATGCGGGACAAACGCACCCGCGCACAAACTCTTCAATTTCTATCAGGATTCATTTCTTATGTTTTCCTCTAATCCATTCTTAAAATCTACGGTTTTTTATTTCTTTTAAACCCAAATCCGTTGTCCTAAGTTTAAATCCTAACGTCGCCATTGTACGATACACCTCATAACATAGTTTAACGAACCCCAAAATTGAAAAGAAAAACAACAAGAACAAGAAAAAATCAAGCATACAACATCATCTCTACTAACGATCTTAATTCCATAACCATAAATATCCTCCAAAACGTGAGAGGACATACTCTTGATTAATGTCAATAGCCTACTTGGTGATGTAGAGTTTATGGTTGCTATTTTTCTTGCTCTGCCTATGCATAAATGCATATGCCCAATTCTTGAATTAAATAATTATATACCGACCATAGCGTATTATAAGTAATCCAAATATATTTTCAAATTGTTTTAATTTAAAGTATTTTTCAGTCAAAAACTAAGAGAATAACTATTAAAATTTTGTTTTCGAAGTCTGTTGAATAAAAAAATATTTAAATCGTAGAAGAACTTGCTTCTATAACCTTAGGATATCTCTTCACTTTATACTTGCAAACCATAATTTTTTTCTAAAAAGATGAGAATGTAATTTTTCATGGTGCGAAAATATTTATTCAAATTATAAAATTTTTTACGTATAGTTTGATTGGGTTACATACATGTGTCTTTTCTAAAATCTATTTATTCAAGATAATAATGTGATTGATTATATATATATATATATATATATATATATATAAAGAAGACAACAAATTTTGAAGGTTAATCATTTGGGATGTGCATAGACTTTTTTTTTTTTTGATAAATTGATGGAACCTTTATAAACGTTTATATAAACTTTTTTTCATACTAGTATGAATCAATTGTTTAATAACTCAAATCTTTAAATAATGGAGTTCAGTATTGTAGTAGCTGAAATTATTGTAAACAATATAAAATTATTTATAAACTTTTACTTCTCGTTACACGAAACTTATAACTTTGTGTTATTGTTTTGTTTAATTTTATTTTTTTCATTGACAATAAACTTCAAACTTGAAGCTTGTAACTTCAATACTCTGCCACAACAATGAGGCAAAATATAAACTCATCAAAACACAAAAATGAAATAAGTCACCATTAATCTTATTGTGAGCGTGACCAAAAGTTAAAAAAAAATATATATATATATATATTTATTAGTAAAAATAAAATGTTTGGTCCAGATAAAAAAAGTGTACTGGGTGACATAGGGCTCCTTAATTCTGCGTAAAGATTTTCTATTTTGATTTAAATCAAACTAGAAACATAACCAACCAAGTTAATAGACTAAAATCAACAAATACAAAATTTCAAAAAGTATATACGTACTTTATGACCAGCCCTCCACCTCAAACTCATATTATTTTTTTACCCTTTTAAACCTTATTTAACATCAAGTTAGGTAGGTATCTAAAGCAAGAATTTTTCATACCAAAAAGAAAAAAAAACAGTAAAATCTAATTACTAAAAGTTTTCTTTAAGCCATTTTGCACCTCCAAGCAAAACATCAGATAGCCTACAGTATCACGGCAATGCAGCAAAAATAGAAATGAAAATTTAACTTTTACCATAAACAATTTCAATTAACTTCAATCTAAATATTCAAACCATTGCCATAGAGAGCTGAGCAGTAGAAAGCAATCCCAAAATGCAGTATACATACACACATAAACCGAACCAACGTCATTGTCCTGCATCAGTTCATAACAACATTCTATTCATTAGTAAAATTGTGCATAACTTCATGACGCTGTTTTTTACTTCTTTCGGAAACGTATGTATATGCCCCCGAATTGAATCCAAAGTATCAAAATTTTTGGGATAGAAAAACAAATCTAAATGGTCCAATTTAATCCAGCTAGGTTTGGATTGAGGTTGACTCAACTAGGCATTTTTTTTTCGTGTTTGGTTCGATCCCTGTTTAATTCCTACTCGATACTTAGTTCCATTTCTCATACTTGTGTCTTAACATGCATAATATAGAGCATAACTTCTAATGTTTTTGAATTTCTTAATGCTGAGATTCAATTCTTACTCGCAAGGTCAAATTACGTTCCCCACCAAAAACTTCAAAGTGGGAGCAGTTGTAATTATAGTAAGGTGTAATTTGATAATTAAAACTAGGGATTGACTTGGAATTCAACATGGAAAACTAAACCCAGCGCAATACTTACACTAATCAATGGCTAATGCTTCTCTAGAAAGACCAGCTGACATGCTGAAAATGAACTTACAACAGAACAGATATTTGTGTCCGCGAATCTCTAAAGGGATTGAGGACCAAAATGTCATCATCTTTCCTGCAAAAGTAAATTTACCAGCGTGATCAAGGCACAAATGGATCATCACATGGAAAAAGAAAAAGTAAAAGGGAGATTCCCGGAGGCATAATGTAAAAAACTACTCAAGAACAAACATAACGAAATAGAATAACAAGCCAAAGAAGAAAAAAAAAAGAATATCATACGAACATTCTTCATTCTCGATGACCAAATCCCATCAAATCTCTTCAAACAAAATGCCAAAAAATATCACAAAGAGGACTCTTAAAAACTGAATCAGTAAAGAATAAAGTTAGAATAAATGAAAGATAAAACATTGAAGCTTTAGAAACAACTCTTCCTGATACCCTACCATGGGGTGTATATCCATAAGGAACATATGGAAAAATAACTGCAAGAAGTCCATTCAAGTCAAGAAGAAAAAGCTTCTTCTGCACACAATCTGCACATGCTCTTCCCAAAAAATAGCCTCTTCCAGATTTGTTTCCAATCTCTCCTCTCCTTGGATGTGAGTTCACCATCTAAACCATTTGAAATGCATTTCTTCTGCAGAATACTTTCTGAAATTTGTGCTGATGTACCATGGCTACCTTCCAGTTCCTGGTCTAACTTAGCCTCAGAAATGCCAGTTGCATGTTGCCCATATGAATGGTCTTGCAAAGTCCGCGGCAAATCCTGCTCCTCAGGAGCTTTTGAACCATTAACAGAGAAATTAGAGGACATTCCACTTTCACCATGATTTATTCTAATTGTTTTGTTCTTCCTCTGGTTGGTTTCAACATTTTGTATGTTAGGCAAAGTGTGGTCAACCCTGGCATCAACATCTTGTTGACTAGGATTATTAAATTCTTTGGAGAAACAATTTCATGAGATAAGAGAATTTTCTTTTGTTCTTGATGAATTCAAACCTGCAACTTTAAGAACATACTTCCTGTCATTCTTGCTATCATAGTTTGCTTCATTATTCTCTTAGGATCATAATGGTTACCCCAATGCGCGAGCCTTCATTCTTTTCCTTGCACAAACTAAACTTGTGTTGAGCTCTGATATTTGAGGCTCAGAATATTCCAAGATTGGTTCGTTTGCATAAATGTACTGGCAAAGCATCCTTCCTTACAGAATTTTCTTCCTCTAACATTTTTTTTATCATCATTTTCAAGGGCACTATAATTGTTTTCCTTCAGTTTCTTTCTTTTTCTCTCTTCTGGTGGATGCCTTAATTCTGGGTAGCCCATTTCTGAATCAATCTGCAGGCCAATATCAATCAAATCCTCCATTACAAGGGGAGTAATCTTAACTGAAGAAGGATCTTCATCACTGCAACTCATATCATTATCTTCGGAGGCATTCTCCTGTCTCTTCTTTTGCTTCATTCCTGTCCTCTCTTCTGGTTGATTGCTTAATTCTGAGTCAATATCAATTTTACCAATTAGAGACGTATCTCTGTATCATTATTAATGCTTTCATGATTTTGTTTGCAGTGACATGTAATGTAACATGCACTTACCCACAGATTCCAGTTTCTCAGACCTGAAGCTGTTACATCTCCACCTCATTTTTCTAAATCCTATAATCACTTCTTGTCCAAATTGCTCCTCTCGCTCCTAGAGCAAGGACAATTTTGACATGCAAGCCCATTTCCTGATATGCAACTTACTTCAGAGGCACTTAAATACAGAACAAGTTTCATTTATTAATTAGATATATGACTCTTAATTTAGTAAGAGTGTATTTATTGTGTTCTCTCATTCAAATGCTGGCTCTTGCTTCAAAATAAGGTAAATAGAGTTTGTGCTTGATCCACATATCCAATCTGCCGAACTTGACATATAAAAGTAGAGAACTTGTTGCAGTTACCTAACAGCTTCCAGACCTGGAGCCTAATGCAGGAGCTTTTCAGATATCAACCGAAGCTTGATGGGGAAGACTAATCCAAAAACACCCACTAGCCCTTGTTGAGTACACTGGCATGCAAAGTTCAACTACAAGAGTTATTGGCATGTCAAGATTTCCATTACAAATTTCAACTATCTGGTTAACTACACACAATAGACCCTTGCTGTTCAATATCTCAATCTCAATAATGTCATCCCAGTGCCCAACTTTGCCTACAGGCCTCTCATCCCTTGCCAATCGCAAAGTAAGCCCATGTTACAAATCCAATTCCAAATTCTTGTTCATTTCTAATAATCTATGCTAACTTGCACCACCAAGAATCTTACAAGAAATGCATATGGATTTTAGCTAGCTCAATACTTGGCAATGCAGATGACAGTGGAATGTTTATGGTATGCAATTCTTCAGTGGTATTAAACACAAGCTGGCCATGTGGGAATCAGCAAATAGAAATGAATTTTAAGAAAGATATTAATACATTCACATTAACTCTTTCACATTTAGACTTGATTTCGTTTGGAATGACATGAGGATTTGCATTTATTCAAACAAAACCACTAATTTAACTTGTCTTGCTATGATTGTGTTAAAAAGCACTCCTATGTACTTTCTCTTGGGAGACACAAGTACTTTCAGTGGGTGAAATATGGTACAAGAACTCCAGTGTTGCTAAAAAAATAGTTCTTACACAAAATGTCGGATCACCTTCTTACTATTTTCGTTATCCATATTGCAATTGGATCAAAAAGTTGGTGGTTAGATGGTTATCACCATTTTTTTTATGATTGTGTTAAATGCAATTCTATTTTTTTTATCACCATTCATTAGCCCATTGGGGAACGTATGTGATTTCATATTTGAGAACACATCAGGAGAGAAGTGAGTATTTGATTGAATAAAAAGGGACTAAAAGAGAGTTAGAAGTAGGCTAAAGTGAAAAACTTCAGTGCAAAAAGAAGGCTTGTACGTTAAGCAGTTCAAATACTGACATGACATATTACTTGAAGCTCAATTGAGCTGTTGTATATACATGTGAATAAGTATATACAACAGCAGTTTTTGGTGCCTTGTTAATATATACCATACTTTTTATTTTTTTAAAAAAAGTATATACAATAGCAGTATATCTGAAGGGAGCTATCATTGAGCTACTAGTGTTCAGGATCTCTCAGAAAATCCCATAACAGTAACACAGCCATTACCGCTAACATCATTTTCTGTCAAAGTTCTTCTTCAAAATCAAGCAACTCAATTAATATTTTTTCAAAAGAAAAAAGGTGCATTTGATGTTGTATTTATACTAGAGGAACGTATCATACAGATGAAGTGAAAGTATCATCATTTTAGGCACCTAACAGTGATCTATTCCTAACAAAAGAACACGAGCTTGCTTTGAAGAGCCTGTGGTTGAGTGGCCGCATAACAAGGGAAGTAAGAGATTAAAAGGGAAGGAGGGCAAACAGGTTGCTGACTTCTGAGAAGAAACCTCAAATGGCTCAAACAAGTTTGCAAGACTAAATCAAATAACAAACGTATTTTTTGTAGGTTCTTTAGTTTAAGTTTTCTTTCCTAGATTTTTATTCAATTAAGGAGAATTCTAAAGCTTATGTCATTGAGAGAATCACAGTTAAATTTAAGTTTTCTCACAATTGATAAGTTCCAAACAAGAGAAAATAAAGTTATTTTCTTTTTCCTACTCTCCATTCTCCTCCATCCAAACAGACCCTAAGTATATTTCCATGATGAAAATATAAGATATGCATAACCACCATGCCCAACAGATAAAATCAAATAACATAAAGCAACAGCTCAAGACATTAGTAGCTCTGGCTTTCTCTATAGAACTTGTTCTTAATGATCTTTACAAAACTAAATTAACAGTTTAGTTGAAGATGTCTCTTTCTCTTTACCAGTTATGCTGGCAATAAAACTAAACTAATGCACACGCTAATTTGACCAGACCACTGATACTTCTGAATTTCAAGATAAATCCGTTTATGATTTTTAATTTTAACTTTCTGGGGAAAAGGATAAGAGATTCTTATAAAGCAGTATATTGAGTGTCTGAACCAAAATCTTATTTCTAATGTCTCCATGGATAGTGCAAAATTAGAAAATATTAAGACAATACAGAAGGATCAACTTTGAAGAAAGGAACTCAAATCAACTTTTTCCATACCTCTAGATAATTGTTGAAATTTCAAAAGTAATATTCAGACATACATCAAGCAGCTTGCCTCCTCAATGGCTTCTTTACAAAACTTAATCGAATTTGCTTAAGCCGTCTCCTCTTCCTTGCCATTTTCTCGGGCAAAGTCTCCCTCTTCCTCTCCTTCTTCACAGCTTTCACCTTCTTCTTCATGAATCTTGAGTCAACCCCATACTCTTTAGGCGACACTGGCAAGCCATTTTTTGAGGCTTCATTATAAAGGGCATTGGCTCTATCAAGTCGATTATGAGCACACCACTTCTCCATCAACAGATCATAAGTCTTGATCCCTGGCTTGCACCCGTCCTGCTTCATCTTCTTGAAAACAGTCATAGCATGATCAAGCCTCTCAATTCCACACAATATCTTCAGAAACCCATAATAAGCTTTCTTATCAAGCGCATCTCCGAACCCAGCTGACTTCATTCTATCAATCATTTCATCTCCTTCCCCAACTCTCGCTGCCTGGTACAAGCTCTTGATTAGAATGAGAAACGTTGTGGCGTCAGGATAACAACCCCATTCTCCCATTCTGTGGAACAGTTTCATTGCCTCTTCTGTCCTCCTGATCTTACACAAGTTGGCAATCAGCACATTGAATGTCTCAACATTTCTCGGAACTCCATAGAAGTCCATATCAAGCAACACCTTATCAGCCTCTGAGGAAAGGCGAAATGGATCCTTTTTCCGGCAAAGCTTACAGACACAATCAAGGATGGCGTTGTACGCCATGGTTCCAATCTCGAATCCTCCTCTGTACATTTCCCCAGCGAGCCTCTTAGCTTCATCAAGTTTCCCATCAACGCACCAACCCTTGATCAGCAAATCACATATCTTCTCATCAGGGAATATCTCATTGGCCAAATTATTTACCATTTTCTCCGCATAACTAGCGTATCCATTCTCGCAAAGCTTCTCCACGACCAGCGTTAGCGATTCCCTATCGCGCTTAAACCCATAATCGTTCTCCATGCTCTCGAAAAAGCCGACAACCTGTGTAGGCCGACCCGCCCGCACCATCCTGTCGATGGCGGACAGTAGGGACTTAGCGCCCGCAACAGTCTTGTTAGCAACTAAAAGATCATGGATCGCCTTGAAATCATTGCGGCGGCCGAAGTAATCGACGAAAAAGGACACTGTTTCGTCCGTGTGAGCGAAGCTAGGATTTGAGACCAGCCACTGGTTAAATCCTAAAACCGAACGGCCCGCTTCCGGAGCAAGATTAAGCGTGTGCTGGACCAGGGTAGAAGTTGGAGTGATGTGGGAGAAGCCGAGCTGGAGATTTTGGGAGATGGATAGAGGGTCTAGAGTAGGGTTTTTGAGTAGTTCTTCAGAGAGAGAAGCCGCGAAGCTTTGAATTTCAGGGCTTGTGACGGATTGAGTGGAGAATGGCAAGGTGAATCTGGTGAAATTGGTGGCGCCAAAACGGGGGAAAAGTGAGGGTTTAAGGTGAAGGAGGAGAGGGTTTTGCCGAGTCTGAGCATGAGACAAGGAGATTGATCGAAGAATTAATCTAACTAGCCGCGGCATTGTTAAGAAAGAAATTGTATTCCGGCTTTGGAAAAGCCAGCAAAGTGAGTTGCAGGAGAAAGATGAAATCGGCAAAGTAGATGCTTCGGAATGAATCGCAGGAGGAGGAAGACGAAATTTTCGAAACCCTACCTGACGAAGGAGGAAAGCGGAATTGGCGAAAAATAAAAAGATAAAAAATAAAAACTTTTAATTTTTAGCTTCAACGGTCAAACTGTATTTTGGTAATCAATTAGAATATGTTATGGTTAATAATTCAATATTAAGATCACTTTTAATTATATTTTTTAATTATCAAATATGTTTCATTCATGTATTAATTATAATCAACTATTTGTTTATATTGTCATAAAAATAAAAATAAGGAGGAAATTATATTAAATAAATTTTAAAAAACATTATTATATTTAGTATATAAAGAATATTATTTGACGGTTGCATATAATGTGAAAACCACCTTTGTTTTAGAGTGTGTTAAGTATGATTGGCTGAAAATTTAGTAATTCCAACAAAAAGAAATTTTAGACGAAAATATGAATTATTTTTATTTTATTTTTAATAGAAAGAAATAAAAAATTATAGATATATTGTTTTAAAAGAAAAATATTCAAATCATTAGTGTAACACCCAATTATTTTTTATTATATTTTATTTTTATTATTTCTATATATATATATAAATATATGTTAATTAAATTTAATTTATTTTAATTTGATAAAATGAAAATAATATTAATAATAATAATAAAAAGGGTGAAAAAATAATTGAGCATTTAATTGAAAATAATTTTGGGAGAAATGAGTGAAAATTTGGGTTCTGCGAGTATTTTTAAAAGAAAAATTAGAAAACGGAGTCAAAAAACAATGTAGAAAAGTTACACCACGTTAGCTATCCGGTCACTAGCCCCGACCAACCAGGACACGCCAGGTGGCAGAGACGCTGACGCATGAGGCCACGCGAGGGGAGCCACGTGGGCGATCCGCGTGCGCGCTGTAACACCCAATTTATTTTAATATATATTAAAATTTTAATTTAATTTTTTTTAATATTAATATTTAATTTATAAGGTTTTAATTTAATTTAATGAAAATAAAAATAATAATAATGATAAAATAGGGTAAAATTATTTTTGGGATTTAATTGAAATTGATTTTGAAAAAAATAGGTAAAAATTTGGATTTTAGAAGTGTTTTTGAAAAGAAAATCAGAAACCGGGGGGGTCAAAACGACATTTAGGAAAGTTGTGCCACATCAGCAGCCCCGACCAATCAGAACACGCCACGTAGTAAGGAAGCTGACGCTGGAGACCACGCGGGACGGAACCACGTGAGCGATCCGCGTGCACGCGATCGGACGACCCAGATCTCACGCGTGCGGACGACCCAGATTGAATCACGCACGGACGGCCCAGATCGCATCGCAATGGATGGCCCAGATTTATTTTTATCTTAATCGCGATCGGACGACTCAGATTAAATCGTGATAGACGACTGAGATTAAAAGGGGAAGGTTATAAATAACCTCACCCACACCCGACCCCAAACCCTAGCCGCCAGTAACCTCGCAGGAGAAGAAGAACCAGTTGCCGGAGGAGCCGGCCGCCACCCGCCACCGCACCGAAGGGTTTTCCGACAGTCAAAGAAGGTAAATTTTCTCTCATTGGCTCGTTTTTCGATACTGAATCCACCCATGGCCAAATCGGAGCCAAACCAAAATTTCGATATTGGCAAAAAAGGGACCCTGGGTCTGATTTGAGGTTTTTTGGGACACGTACAGGTACCAGTAGTGCCTTTCAGTTTCCCAGAGAAAATTCAGGGAATTTAGGGACAGCCCGTAAGTACATTGTAGAGCCGATTTCAAACCCCGAAAACAAGTAAGGATTTCTCACCCTATTTCCTATCACGGTATTAAAGCTCAATAAATAATAAAACAGCATTTCGTGAATTAATAGATATATATAAATAATTAAGGTTGCTAATGGAGCTCGAGTTTGATATATTTTTGGTCAGTTGCTGTTTTAGTTATTTTACAGTTTTAAATACAGTATGGTATCTGATGTGTTTATTTTATGGTTATGTATGCATGAATCATGATTTCCTTTATTATGGTTTGAATTATGGTGAACCCATTGTTGTGTTATTTTGTTTGGTGTTCATTATTAGTTTACGTGTTTGTGTATGATTGGATGATTGAGATCAAAGAAAATGGAAAAAATGTTATGTGAATTGATAAATAGATAATTTGGACAGCCTAACTAGATATCCTGGGAGATAGTGGACGAACCGGGTCCGTAGGAAACCCTACCGGGAACGTGGTCTCTCATATCGGACAAGGTATAGAGACCTTATGTATTTTGGCGCCCATACCAGACGGGGTATGGGAACGGCCCGTTTCACCCTCATACCAGATAGGGTATTGAGGTTTATGGTTTTGGCGCCCATACCGGACGGGGTATGGGGACGGCCCGTTTCACCCTCATACCGAACGGGATATTGAGGTTCATGGTTTTGGCGCCCATACCGGACGGGGTATGGAGACGGTCCTGGAATCAAGTTATTAATGTTAATGGTTCACGTGTAGCGGGGACCCCCTATGGATCCCCGTGGATACTAATAGGCTGGTAAAAGAGGAGAATTGTTGTCTTATTTTTGAAGTGCAAAAGTATAACATGTGCTATGTTACAAAGTGTGTATGATTTTATGATGGTTATAATGTTATTGTTTTCATATGTTATTTTCATGAATCTCAACGAGGTAAGTGAACAGTAAAGGTTTTTATTATTAATAAATAAGTTTGTTATAAATTATGCTCCATTGGTCGTTTTTGTTTTCTACTAACCTTTACTTCTGTGGCAGTGAGATAATGTGATGTCTTTACTGGGCTAGTGTACCTCATTCCTTACTTAACCATTTCAGATCAGAAAGACGTGATTCCCGAGCCCGTTCCACAGGAAGACGGCGAGTTAGACGGCTAAAGATTTTATAGTTCTATTTATAGTTTTTATTTCGAGTATTTCTTTTAATCAGCTTATTCTTTCATATATTGAATACTTTTTTGGTTATTGTGTAAGGGATGTTAATCAGAAATTTTTATTTCGCTTCCGCATTTAAAATTTTAATACATACATCTTCATTTAAAATTTCCGGGGCCGTTACAGTTGGTATCAGAGCCGCGTTCCTCGGACTCATCCCTTACACAATAATGCTTAGAGAAATACCCACCGGTAAATTGTTAATCAACTCTTCCGTGTGAAATGCAGGTGCAAAGAAATGAGGAGAGGAAGACCCCCACTAAACCGAGCAGCCCAGGATGGTTCGCTTCGGGAAGATGTGGACAGAATATTTGAGATGCTGGGAAGGATCATGGCCACCCAGCAAGGTCGAGAGGAGAGGAGGGAGTTACCCGAACCTCCCACACTACCACGGGTTGAGCCACTGCTACAGCAAGCGGATCCCGAGCCACCCCGTTATGAGCTTGCTCCACCACAGTACCACCTGGAACCACCGCCGCAGTATGAACCAGTGCCCCAGCCACCGTACTGCCCGGCACCGCCACAGTACAATCCGGTGCCCCCACCATATCAGCAAGTGCCACCACAGGGCCCCCCAGTCTATCCCCAGCCGGGCCCAGTCCCTCTTCCACGGGACGCAGCTCCTTCCTTAATCGACCCAGGCTACATAGAGAGGTACAGGAGACTGAACCCTTCCACTTTTGCAGGGGGATCCTCTTTTGAAGATGTCCAGTACTAGTTGGCGGAGACTAAGAGAGCTTTCAAGACCTTCGGAGTGGTTCCCGAGCAGAGAGCTGCCCTTGCTTCCTACATGCTGGTAGGGAAGCAGGTCGTTAGTGGGAGCTCAAGCAGACCACCCTGCCTACACCAGCCACTTGGGAGCAGTTCTTAGTGGCCTTCCATGCGGAGTATCTCCTTGAGCACATCCGACACCTGAAGGAGATGGAGTTTGTTCAGCTGGTCCAAGAAAATATGACGGTATCGGAATATGCTCGTAAGTTCTTAGAGTTGGGCCGATACTCCCCGGAGACATTGATGGATGAAGGCAGGAAGGCCAAGAGATTCCAGTGGGGCCTCCGCCCAGAAATCAAGCAACACTTATTGGTACTGGAGTTCAAGACATACTCAGCCGTTCTAGCAAAGGCACAGATTGTGGAGAGGAGTTTCAACACCCGTCCTCAGTCAGCAGGGAGTCACCGACCCTCAGATCCACCCAGCAGACCAGCACCTACTGCACCGGTCCAACCAAATAAGAGGCCCAGACAAGTGATCCAGGCCCCTCCTCAGGCTCTAGGGGCAGCACGTGGAAAGATCTGCCAGCACTGTGGCAAGGATCACAGGGACCGACCATGCTACCGCCTCAACAACACCTGTCGCATATGTGGCAGTGTCCAGCACTATGCGAGAGAGTGCCCGAGGAACCAGAACCAAGGAAGACCTCCTTTTAAGGGCAGGGTTTACAACCTTACCCAGCAGGATGCCGACGCCGACTCGAACGTAGTATAAGGTATGTACATTATCTGTGACCATATGCTCATGTTTATTTGACACTGGTGCATCGCATTCATTTGTTTCACATGTTTTTGCTTCCAAACTTAATGTATAACTTGATAAACTTGATTCATTATTATTTGTGTCTACTGCTGGGGGTGAAACACTATTAGGAGAAGTTATCTACAGGGCTTGTGCCGTGGAGATAGCAAATAGAAAATTGAGTGTAGACCTGATAGGTTTAGACACGGGGGATTTTGATGTAATCTTAGGAATGGATTGGCTAGCAGCGTATCACGCCACCATAGATTGCTTTAACAAGAAGGTTGCATTTAATTCTCCTAATGAGGAGCCATTTACAAATTAATAAAATCATTTAGTACTTATTCCTTGATGGCAAGTTTCCTTAATTTTTTAGTACCTTAATCTTGCTAATTTCTCTAACTAGGCAAGTCCAAGAAGTAAATTTGTATCCAAGAGATTCTAGTAGTCTGTGACTTTCCAAATGTGTTTCCGGACGAACTACCCGGACTGCAAGTGGACAGGAAAGTCGAGTTCACTATAGACCTACAACCAGGCACCCAGCCCATTTCGTTTGCTCCTTACCGCATGAGCCGCATTGAAATGGAAGAGCTGAGGAAACAGATCACTGAATTACA